CACAGAATGCAAATGATGGCTTTGGATGCCATCCAATAGGCGTTCTTTACAAAGAAAGCTTGTGTCTGTGAGCCCAAGTAATTTGAGCACAGGTACCTTGTTGGTGTCATTCTGTGTAAAGATGGGCGGTCCTTACACAGAATGCAAACAATGACTTTCTGTGTAAAAACTGCCCATTGGATGGTATTTAATAGGTCAAGGTTGTCTGTCCAATAGGTGAATTTTACACAGAAACTCGATCTGTGTAACGATGACGAAGCAGTCAGTCTGTTAGTTTGGTTGTGTTCTTTACACAGAATGCAAATGATGGATGTCGTTTTTTTTCTTTTTTTTTGTCCTTATATTTTTGACAGTAGGTAGACAGGAAAGAGAGCAAAGTGCCTGTGCTCACAGAATGATCACAGTGAGACTCTGAAACCGGTTTTCAACATTCACTGTTTGAAAACAGAAAATGTTGTCTGGCCAGAAATCAGCCACTGATGTTTATCAGTTCATAGTGATGTGTTGCTGACCTTATCCCTACTGCAGCATCTATTTACTCATATTATTCATGGTTTATGTCATCCACATCTTATTTATGATATTTGGTCACTAGGAGAGTAAGTAACAAAAGTCACTGCTGAAGAAGTTGGTTGTTCACAGAACTCTGTATTAAATTATATTGTAAATGAGTTTCCATTAAACTTAGTGCCACAGGCTGATCACCTCCATGTCACGATGCATTGATGCAGTAATTCAAGAAAGACAAAGTTCAGCCAAATACTGAAGGCATAGAAATTTACAAACTTTACTGAAGCTGACATTTGAGCTCAACATATCTGTTTAAATATTCATATTTCCTCAGATCCTGGATTTTAGAGTTTCTTTGCCTGAATGTCATAGTTATAAAAATTTCCAAAAATAAAAACTGCTGTAATTATTTGACTCTGTGTAGCAAATCTCTATAAAATGAGAATTTAATTTCTGAGATTACTGGCAAGAAATATTAAACTTTTAGTCCATATTCTAGTTTATGTGCAAGCTAAATAAATATAGAATAAATTATGGATGAATGATTCATGATTTGTTGGTTTAGTCATAAGCAGATTGAATTGATCTTTATGTTTCTAGATTTTCACACAGTAAATCATTAATCAATCAATGAGTAAAAAATGATGATAAATTATTTTCTACCAAAATCTTCTGTAAATAAAATGTTGAATTTGTATGACTGTTTAGTTTTTCAGGATTAAATTATTTATCAGTAAAATATGAATCAGAATAGAGCTGAGCTGTTATTATTATATATTCACAGGTTGTTTGATTTCCTGTAACCTTGGTAACAAAGGTATGTGATGATTTTGAGGAGAGAAAAAAAATCTGAATATGAAGCAAAACGAACCTTAAAGTTCAGCTTCTATTTATAAACTGTAGGAGGAAAGAGGAGCCGTTGTACAAAGTGAAAACAAACAAGATAGAAGTGTGAATCATTGCAGACTGCAGGGAGCGTCTCTGCTGCTCTATGTGCAGGGAGAACCAGTTTGGTTGTTGTTTCTAAACAAACTGAAAACTTTTTTCTCCAGGTTTTCTCCAACTTTGAGTTGGTAGAAAACAATCAACCTGAAAAAAAATAATACTTGAGTTTGATTCAGTGAAGGTGTAGAAAACATTTGCCACGTTACAAGAAGCCTGCAGTTCATCCTGTCATAATGATAAATAATGATAAATCTCATAAAATGAAAACAAGCTCAATCATTTCTATTTGCATCATTTATTGTTTCTTCTTTTTTCTCTAAAAACTGAATGACTAAACTCTTCAGTTGGTGTTTTGGTCTCAACCTTTTTTGAAGGACAGTTTGTTTATAAAGACTTTATAATTTATTTATTTGTTGTTTTGTTTATTAATCTTGAATGTCTTATTCATTATCATGAAGGCCTGCCTGGAGGTCATGTGATCATCATAATAAAGAGAAAAAAAAAATTTAAAAACTGTTGTTGCATTTCTTGTGGCTCCACTGTGAATAAAGTTGCACTAATTACACTTTCTTCAGAAGTTAACAATTTAACTGTCTCCAAGTTTTAGGTTCAGAGGTTCATAAACTTTTTTAACTTTCACAACTGAATATGAATCAATTAAACCATTTTATCTTCTCTCCTCAGGCTGCTGATACATTATGGAATTCATTTTAAAATCCTTGTCTTGTTTTTAAATTGAGCTGCTCCACCTTTATGCTCCATCCTGTCCTCTAAGGTCAGGAGGTCAGATTCTCCTCATGCAGGGATCCCAGACCAAACCTTTTACATCTGATCTATAATCTATATTTACTTTTCTCACTGCTAAAGTTTTCAACAATGAAATAATGAAAAACTGTTATCAAGAATTTAAGATTTCCATTTTTTGTCTCCTGTATGAAACATCCATCCATCATCCATCCCATCCATCCATCCATCATCCATCATCCATCCATCCATCCATCCATCATCCATCCATCCATTTATCCATCCATCCATCCATCATCCA